ACAGGCTAGCACCGGGACCCGGGCGTAACGCTGCTGGATCTCGCCAGACGTGGTTGCACTTCTAGACATATGTAGGACTCGAAGCGTGGGCTGCACAGCGCTGCCGACTTTTATAACATGCTCGACTATCTACCCTACGCTCTCATTTTGGACTTGCGGCTATACGGACCGATAGCGTAACGTCGGGTACTCCTGGCTTAGCACCGTATAGCACGGCCGCACAACGTAATAAACCTCCAACCCGCTACCTTTTTTTTTCCTGTCGATTTAGGGGATGAGTCCCGACGAGCAGTCCTCACCTGGCGGACACTGGCGGAAGCCATTACATAGACTTTACTCCCTGATTCCGAGTCAACGGTAACACTGTTATATGTGTCAAGATCGTCTGCTGTACGGCAATGCAAGTTCATCTGCTGTCACTCAATTTCGTCCGGTGATCCTACGCAGTCTGCCTCTCCGGCTCTATTGTCCTCCTACCACCTAACAAGATGCGCACTGCGTAGCAGTCCTCACTCGGCGGCCCTGGCGCTGGCCATTAAAACATATACGTCGCTGTCGACTCTTCTCTCTCCTGCCTTGCGCTCTCCTCCAGTCTTCTGCAGCGATAGGCCCTCGGTTCGGCGGGTTCCTGATCCCCTGGGGGTCGGCGGCACTGGCGGCAGCCATTAAATATATATATATATATATATGGCTGTTGAGCTAAATTGCTTCATCCCGGAATGTCAGTCTTCACGAATAAAAAGATTAACTTTAACAAAGCCATCGCGGAACTGTCGCGAAGGCATATTTGCATACCTTTGCAAATTAGAACCCTGAGATATAAGTTATAAGCTTGAATTGAAAGTTCCTGGGAGCCTTTCCCACAGGCGTTTGGGGTTTTGAGGCTGTGAGACAGGCTTTCGTACCAACGGAGGATTGAAAAGCTTTCTTCATGGGGCTATTCCAGGGGTCGTAAGGGCTTCCTAGGAGGTGCCAACAATGTCCATTGGGGGTGGCCTTCATCAGGCTACGTCGACTTTAACGTCACTTACGCGCAACTTACGGAACTTACGCGCTAAACCCTGAACTGGAACCGAATTTTGGGGTTTGTCGTTGAGAAGATTGTGGGTAGTAGGTGTGGCAGGTAGTGGTAGTGTGTTAGTAACAGTAACAGAAAAGTAACAGTAACAGTAATCGTAACAGTGACAGTAGTAGGAATAGTAATGGCAGTGGTAATTAGAAATAGTAATAGTAATAGTAACAGTAACAGTGATAGAAATAGTAGTAGCAGTAGTAGTAGTAGTAGGAGGAGGAGGAGGAGGCGGCGGAGTAGTAGTCGTAGTCGTAGTCGTAGTCGTAGTCGTAGTCGTAGTCGTAGTCGTAGTCGTAGTCGTAGTCGTAGTCGTAGTCGTAGTCGTAGTCGTAGTCGTAGTCGTAGCAGTAGTAGTCGCAGTAGAGTAGTAGTAGTAGTAGTAGCAGCAGCAGCAGTAGTAGTCGTCGTCGTCGTCTTCGTCGTCGTAGTAGTATAATGAGCTCACTGATTCACAGCTCAGACGCCTCTTTTTCCACACAGCTCACTGCTGTAGTCTGTAGGACCCTGGATCATTGGACAAAGGTGGGTCCACTGCAGACCCAGCGAACACCCGACATTCGTCAGATGTCCCCTGGTTAACCCTATCAACTAAGCTCAACCACTCGTCTCCATGAGAAACCTCTTTGGGAGGGCTGGGTGGGAAAGAGCAAAGGAGCGAGTAAGCCTGCCTCCAAGCCGCTATGGCTACGGTGATGCAGGTTTCATTATAAATGCACAGAGACCCTTCCCATCCATCCAACCTTCTGTGCACTGTCATAATGAGCTCACTGATTCACAGCTCAGACGCCTCTTTTTCCACGCAGCTCACTGCTGTAGTCTGTAGGACCCTGGATCATTGGACAAAGGTGGGTCCACTGCAGACCCAGCGAACACCCGACATTCGTCAGATGTCCCCTGGTTAACCCAATGCACTCCTCTGTCCCAATGTTTGAGGGTCTCCACAGCTGACAGCAGTGGCTCAGTGTGGATCAAGTGCCACGGGAGGCAAGGTGTCGTGCCTAGAAGCCAGTCCTGCTGACGTGTCCAGTCGTCAGCTGTGCCACTACGCGACAAGCCATCCGACACATTCGCCTCTGACGGCACCCATTCAACCCACACTCTGGCAGACACGCTCGCCCAGAGTAAGTGGCAGAGTACAACTACTGAAGCAATATCATCTGATGCACAGCTGCCCCGGACCAAAGCGGAACACACAACTTGGTTATCGCAAAACCATATGATATCTCTCTGCTCTGCTCCATGTGATCTGCGAAGACAACAGAGGCTTGGAGTACAGCCAGGGCTTCAAGCGGCGTGATCTGTGTCTCACGCTCCTGGAAGGCCTCTAAAACTAGCTTTGGGATCGTACAAGCAACGCCTTGTGTCTGGGCATCAGGACAAAGCAGGACAAGTCCCAATCCCGGCGCTGGCATATCTTGAGGCTCCCAACTAGCGTCCGTGTAAATGACGACTGGAGGGCGGGGATTAGGGCTAAGGCAGATTTTCCGGGGACCTACGACATCTAAAAGAGCTCGCATAAACTTGAGGCTTCTAGCAAGCTCAGGCGTGATGTCGTCTGTAGCCTCGTACTGCCTACGCACAGGCGGCCCTTGTCCGCCACGTGCACACCTCCCGTACATAGCGGAGCTAGCCCACTGAAACTTGCCCCTGAGCTTGGATGCTTGCCCAGAAGACAAATGATTCTGTGACAAGATCGTGTCAAGCTCCTCCATCAAAGCCTCGCGCAAGCCTGGTTTCACATCAATGAACATAGCGGCAGTTTCGTTCATTCCTGCCAAATTAAGCAAGACGCCTAGCCTCTAGCAGAAACCGTATCTAAAATCCCACTATCATCAAAGTACCCCGCTGTGGCTGTGCCTGTCCACTGTCGAGTGGCCGCTGTGGCCAACGTAGGTAATCGACAGAAATTCAAGACAGCGCTAGCCAAACCGAACGGATGGGCTCGCATGACGGCATACTTGACAATCTGCTCAGTTGGATGCCAAATGCCGACAACCAGGCCTGGAGCTTCCTCAGGCATGTTAGGCATTTGCCTGTAGGCGTGATCCATGTCCTCGGTGCCGAAGACCACCTGAGCCCACGCAGGACACACATTAAAGGACTTATGCAGCAAATCCATGAGGGCTCTACACGCTGCAGCTGCAAAGTCAGGCGTGTTTGTGCAGATTGTTTCAAGCATCCAAGACAAGGCATTATGTCCATTACTCCGCCCATTATCGATGGGCCTCTGCTTTCCACAGGCCTGGACATGCATGAAGCGCTGCATCGGCAACCAACAGGAATGACCAAAGGCTTCATCCAGCTCTTGCCTGGTAAACAGGCCATCTGCCCAACCTGTCTCTATCTCTTTCACCGTATGATCAAGAAGTTCTTGCGTGTATTCCGCCTGGGGCAAAAACGCCTCCAGTTTGCGGATAGCTGCTGGCGCACGCTGCAAAAACTCCTTTTTCAAATCAGGTGGGTCGGGTGTGGCAGGCGGGACAGGGCGGAAAATGTTAGGGGATTCAATTTGGCCTAACAACCGAAACCCCGTAACAAATCTAAGCCCAAGCGTTAGGTCCGGCCAGTCCAACAACACTGCAGTTGCTGTCATCATAGCCGGGCACTTATCTGATGCGACCTTGAAAACAGGTTCAGGCATGAGATTTCGCAAGGCAGCATCCCACGGTGACAAGAAAGTGTGAACTGTGCGGATCGCTCGCTGCTGCAGCCGCCGCCATGTCCGAATGCATGGGCCAAAGGCCACCATGGCTCGTACTGCAAAGCTCGCATCCGGATCTAGGACCGCATGTGTATGGTACGGAGAAGGGAGGCAAGTACCTAAGGCCATATGTGTAGCCTTGTCAACTTTCTCCGGAATCAACGGTTGACATGCAATCTTAGACAGCGGACCGCCTCTTTGCGCGCCCAAGGCGGAGGCTGCCAATGCGCGATGGTTCTGCTGCCTCCATTGTGGCGCTCCAAAGTCAGATTCTGCATTCCTCAAAATACAATCAGCTTTGAAAATCTGCAATTTCCGCACGGCTGCCCTGACCTTATCGTCTACTTGCAGCACAGGCCACTGGACATCAAGAGACACAAACTGCTGCTGGATTCGCTCTAGTAGGGTCTCTGGCGTCAAGAGACCTGGACACGCGTCGACGACACCTGGCTGGAACACAGATCTCTTCACTTGGGTATGCAAACACGTCTCGAACGCTGAGTACATCGGGGGAGGGATGCCCGAAACTACAGGAATCATTTGCAGCAGTATCATCAAGACCACCATCAACGACGGAACATGAAAGGAATTGCCTATGAGCGAAGCCCTAACTCGCTCCCTGTGCTTGACATCCTCCTCCTCAGGTGCTGCCCACTGCAAGATGGAGCTCGGGATGCCCATCAACGTGGCTCGCTCCTGAGCATTCGGCTGTCTCCACTCTCGGCCTTTCCACAACAAGGATGCATCCTCGTATGCAAATGCTGGGTAGGCCCTCTCACCTTCTTGGTAACGCCTGCGCGCCTCATCTGACGCTGCTACATCTGGCAGCCTCGGATGCTCAAACGACCGAGTGAAGGTAGCAAAGCCCACATGGTCCGTCGTGGTTCCGATGTTGGCCTGTGGCTGAAAGCATGTTTTGAAGCCATCCTGAAAGAACACTCTCGCTGGCCACGGCTTCTTACCGACCCACCTCAAATGCATGAGGTCGTCTTCACTCAGAGCTCCGGCAATGTCCTTGGGAAGGGCACTTTGCACATCATGTGACAATGCGGTGTGCCCATCACCTCCCCAAAACATGCGGGTCCGCCGAACCCAACCAAAAGATGACCCATGCACGATGAGTGAGCGGCTTTGCATGGCCGCACAAAACTCTGTCATGACCTCTGGTGGGCCATGTGCCACATTCTCCAGCAGCTGCAAGACCGGAATGGGAATGTTCAATGATGCCAACAAATCTCTGCATTCCTGAGCTACTCGCGGGATCTCTGCAAACAGCTGTGTCCTGGGTGCACTCAAACCTTTCCTGCTGCGATTTAGCCGACTGATGTCCTGACAAGGCGAACCTCCTAACACCAGAACCGCCGCATATGCATGTGTCTGGAACTCTTGCCTCAGGCATGCAGCAGTGAACGATCTGGCATCGGGAAAATGCGCAACATTACGAAAACTTGCTGCACAAACTCCTGTGGCGACTGGATCCATCTCCACTGTCATTGCCCGGAAGGTGACTCCCAGCGCTAGCAGTGCTACAAAGGCCGCTCCAATCCCATCGAACAATGAAATCACGAAGATCGGACCCTTATCGTGTAGCGACAAATGCGTCTGCGGCAGTGGCGAAACCCCACAGTAGTACACCCACTCTGTAGGTATCAATGCCTCCACCTGAGATCTGCACGGCCATGCACACCCCATTGGCTTCACATCCCGTGCAGCTGACTGGTTATACATGCCCATGGTCGTTGCCCCATTGTCTGAAGCCACAAGTTGCACATGCCGCGCTTTCGCCAAGGATTTGGCTATGGCAGCCAAACGAGGCTGCGGCGACGCCATGAACGACATGCCAACTGCAACTGACCCGTCATCTCCACTGCCTGTGCGCTGCGACATCCTATGCTCGGTCTGGCGCACCACACGCGTCATCTGCTGCTCCGTCTCGCCTTCATCAAGTGTCGCATAGCCACCAAGCGAAACCAGCCTAGATGAACCCACGTGTGTAGCAGCGGCCTCACCTTGAACCAAGCGGGTCCCCCTTGGCTCAAGGAGGCCTGCCCCCTAGCGATTAGGGCACGTCAGCCTGGTGTGATTCGGGTTGTTGCATGGACGACCATTTGCCAAAAGGATGTCACACGCATGAATGTCCTGACAATCCTCTTTGGTGCATCCCCGCTGGTCATTCCAGCGCTTGCAGAATGAGCGGCCTCTGTACTCCTTAGCTGTCTTGGCCTTCTTGGATGAGGGGGGAGAGTCCGAAGCAGCACGCAACTCAGGATCCACACGTTTTCGTGACGGAGGTTGCTGCCACATGAGCTCTTGCTCCTGGTAGGCCTTGAAGAATGCTTCGCCCAAGGGCCACTGTTGCCTAGCCAACTCCACCATTCGGGCTCTGCACTGCTCATCCCGAATCTTCAACCACTCAATGGTAGCGTTGGAATCTGTGGCATGACGAAGCACTGCATCGCAGTAATCCAGGAGGACCCCCAGTGGGGCCATGAACAGCTTGGTGCCCGGGGTCTGCTTCGAATCCACCTTGAACGTCCCGGCAATTGTGTATGCATTGCACAACACTCGCAGACGTTGAAAATACTCGGCCACTGACTGTGCTGCTCTGGCCTCTGGCTTCCTCATCTGGCCTAAGTTGGAGCTTCGCCGAACCCAAGTCCAGGAATCTGTCCTTTTGAGGTCTGTTGGCCGCGAATAGACTACGGACTTTATCAATGCCAATGACCGTCACCGTGCCTCTTTGCATCTCCCGCCAGACTCTACTCAACAACGTGTCACTCGGGGCCATGTGCACCGGTAGCTCCAGATTGTAGCGTTTCCGCCACGCATCTAGAAGGCTCTCTTGCGTCGCTGGGTCCAGCGGGTCATCGAGGTCATCGACAGGTTGTCCAGATTGGCCTCAACCTTGAGGATAGATGCTCTAGCTGCGCGCCATGCTGCACGCAACCTGGCAAGCAACAAGGCCTTGTTCGGTGCAGCTTTGGTGTCCTCACACGCTGCCAAGATGACAACATCAAGCTCGGATTCATAGCCATTCACCGTCACGATGTTGCAAAAGTCGCTAAGCGTCTCTATTCCCAGCGTCGATTCACACCATGCAATCAATGGCTCAGGCAACTTCTGATCTTCGAGGCATCTCCGAAACTCATTCGATTTAGCCATGGCCCACAGCACTGGTACCGCACTCCCCCTGCACCTCGAGCAAAATGCTCTCTCACCGCGCTGCTTCCACGAAGGCTCTAAGCCCAAGCACAAGGCCAGGAGGCAAAGCCCAGGAAGAGTGCACGGACTATAAAAGCCCCCCTCCGCAAGTCACATATTCATGCCCGGTCCTCGCCCTTATGGCAGCGAAGGCAATTGTGATGGGAGTGAAAAGGCTTGCCCCTATTGCAAGTACCCTCAAAGCACTGCTGACATGGGACTCCACAGCGATAGCCTGGGCGGCGCAAGCGACCATCACCAGGCGGCACAGCCGGAGGATCAGGAATCGACCCCCCCGAAGCCGATGAAGATGGAGCAGCTTGCATCGGATCAACCGGTGGTTCCGTAGAAGAAACTCCCGGCGACTCAGTAGACCTCGCCTCGCTTTCGATCTCCAGCAGCAGCCGCAGGACCAAGGACCGCAACTCCACCGGCATGGCCTGCAAAACCTGCTTAAGCTGATCCGTCGAGCACGGCCAAGGGCGCTCACCGTTTCCCGACATGATTGCGAGGACTGAGGGCTGACCAGGATAAGGCTCAACGGCTACCCAGCATTACGCTCAGCGAGAGGGTCAAGTAACACCAGCAGGCAGAGTACAGGCTCACAAGTTTTAACTCTCCGTTCTGAGTGCGTCGCGCCACGCAATCGGTGCCCTGGCCCAGCACTTCTGACAAACCTCATCCGCATCATCCAGCCCCACACCTCTATGTACATGCAGAGCACTAAAGATGGAATCGCGACACCACGGAATGAACTGCGATCCTTGCTGGGATTGCACTAAGTGTTTCTTCCCTGAGGCAGTTTGTGCAAACCAAGGCAACTCCGAAGCCGTCTTTTCATAGTCCTCATCCGATACACTTGAAGAGCTCGAAGCCCCACTCGATGAAGGAGAGGCCACCACCTCTTTGGGAACAACCGGTGGTGCAATCTTCACCTCTACCGACTGCAAATGTTGAAGAATGGCCTCCCTGGACGGTGCATACAACCTCACATCATGCCACGAGCATTGTGCCGGCTGACCTGACTTTAACATAGCCTGATGCAAAGCTGTGACGAGTTGCTGCTTGACGAAGGCTGCGGTGCTTGTCATGTGCATAATGCTTTGCCGTGCCCACCACTCCACCGGAAGGGAACGGCTTCCTGATGATACATCTGTCTGCTGAAATTGCATCACATCGGCCGCAGTTGGCATGAAACGCCTGAGGCTGTATGATGAAATTTTTGATGTCTCATCGTCACTAGCACCTAGACCCTTAGCAACCGACCTAAGCAAACAGTTAAACTTCGGCAACGTCATGGGCCTAGCAATTTTCTGTGCTGCGCTGGACAGCGGCTGACCTCGCGCGATATCAAGGTCCTGCACAATGAAGGTAGGAGGCTTGCCCAACTGCTCTTGCAACTCAGTCCAGTCTAAGAAAAGCTGGCTTGACAAGTTAATGGTCTGCGTGATGCGAGCTGGGATGGCCCAATCAAAAGGTGGCCTCCTTCCTTGCACTCACCTCTTACCTTGCGCACACGTGGCCCGGATAAAACCATCCTGCAGCCTAAGCGAATGCGACCTCCTGGAATGCTCAAAACGCAGGCAAGCTATGAGCAACAAGAGGGTCCACGTTAAGAAAGATGCCACGGTACCTGATGCAGACTTCCAAGCTCGCAGCATAGCCCAGAAAATGCCAAGTGAAAGCGGCGTTCTAGGTTGCACCACATGCTCAGCTGTCGGGCTAGCCCATGCAAGCACTAAGCCATCAGCCATCGGCAAAGGTAAGCCCACCACTGAGCTCCACCATTTAAGCGAAGCAAAGGCATGGCAAGATGCTGTAGGACCGCCTTTGCTAATATCGGCCAAGTAACGAGCAACCCAGAACGCCGAAGGCTTCCAATACACGATATCCGAAGGTACATGTGCGCTGTGCCACTTGACCCAACGCTTGAATGCTCCAACATGCGACTGCAATCTAGCATCAACCACATTCCTGAAGCGAGCTGCAAACAACTCAAAGGCATCCGCAGCATTGGCACGAAGCTCGGGACCAAACTGTGTATTCTCCGAACCTGAAGCCCGGACCACCTCAAGAATAACTTTCAGCGCAGCCAATCTTTTATCAGGAATAGGTGCCAAGCCCTTCAAAGGTGGAGCCGCATAACCTGCTCTGAAAGGCTTCGGCAACAACTGCGCGGGTGGTCTACAACGCATCTTCGGGCGAAGCCCCGCCCCACTATGCACACCTGGGCAATCAAGCGCGGTAGGCTCCGACCTTCGATGAGAATAAGCAGGCATCTGCTCCAATCTGACATTTTCCATCACTCGTGCCATGTGCCAAGCTTGGGTAATAGCTTGCACAACACCAGCATCAGCTGAAACATCAAAAATGTCTCTGTCAGAAGAGAAGATGTTTGCCAGATCAGAAGTAGATTCCACTCCCAGCTCCTCTAATCTCTCCAGACCAGCCTGATTCAGAATCGAACGAAAGACAGACGGCAAGGCCATGGCTGGCCAGAGAAAGAGCAAAGGAGCGAATCAGCCTGCCTCCAAGCCGCTATGGCTACGGTGATGCAGGTTTCATTATGAATGCACAGAGACCCTTCCCATCCATCCAACCTTCTGTGCACTGTCAGTAGTAGTAGTAGTAGCAGCAGCAATAGCAATAGTAGCAGAAATAGTAATAATAGTACGGCAAATAGGGTAAACAAATAACTTTCGCAGAAAAAATTATCTTCAACAAAACCACCGCAAAACTTTCGCGAAGGCATATTTAGCTATGCAGTTGTCGTTTCATATCAAGCATGCCACAAGGAGCTTTAGATCAACTACAATATATATATATATATACATACATACATACACACACACTCACACCACACCACACTGCCCAGCATGTACTGTCCCGCATGTGTAATGACACATTTTCGCTCTGGTCAATCGTAATAATATAACTATTATAAACACGATTAAGAGAATATTAGTGATATAGTAATAATGGTGTCTCTGCGTTTGTCTCAAAGTGGAGCGTCAGCGGCCCTCGAAGTCTCGAACCCTGGGAACCGCGGAGCCTTCTTGGGCTCGAAGCCCAGGGCGCGCATGGCCACCTTCAGCTCCTTGGAGTCGATCTCGCCTCTTCCGCAATTTTGGAGGTGGGTGATGGATTCTATCTGTTTTGTGTTTAACTCGATGCTAATTGCTGGTATGACTACAGTTTGAAGTGATGAGTGCAAAATGGCTTGGGTTGCCTGAGCCATCCGTGTCGAACAAGTCGAAGGCCTCTTTGATTTCCTCCGGAGGACAGGCAGTCAAGGCCAAGAGCTTTCTGTGCATGTGCCATGCGCTTGTCACTTTCACACGTAGACATACTGATCTTGCAGGCGCCCGATAATCTCCTGCTTTTGCTCCTCCGTCAGCTCCTGGGCACTTGCGATCACTTCCGGCGGGGGTATGGAGGTGGCACTTTGACTTGAGGATTCCAGGGTGCAGATTGCAAAATGACCGCAAAGACTGCCCTGTTTGACAAGCTCGCAGTGCTCCTTCTGCTTCTTTCCGCCGGCGTTGAATCGACGCAGGGCCATTTTGCGAAGAGTGGTTGCGAGCAGATGGTCAACACGAGCCAAGAGTCCTGCAGGTGAGGCGTCCTCCACCACCTCATCCATCAGTCATCCTTTTGGATGCTACTTACTTTTTGCTGCTGCCCGTCGCAAACTGACTCCAGTCACTCTGTTCACGACCAAGCATTCCGACCTATTCCGACCCTCCTTCACGAACATTTTTGCTCGCAGTCCTGATTCGTGCTGCATTGCAAAGGTCACGCACATAGATGCATGTAGCATACATTTGGCAAACGCGCCCCTGTGACTAGCTGGCAGATGAGAGGTCGGGTTGTGGATGACTGGAGCATGCGAAGCCTGGATGTGGGGGCCATTTTTGGCAGCAAGTGTGAAACAACAGCTTGAAGCGAATCGAGCCCAAGCTTGCTGAGAGGGCTGACTCTCACCCTGCAGCTGACGTGGGAAAGAAGCTGCTAACCCTGCGTGACCAATGCACCACTGGCTCATTCTCTCTGCTTTCCGAATCCTCTCGACTGCAAGAGGACCGTCTACATATGTTGCACTTTGCTTCAGCCGCAAAGCTGTTGTGAACATCAGACTGCTGCCACGGGTATGTGGCTCAACCATGCTCAGAAGAGGTTCGTCTTCTTCATGATGCGCAGGAACTCTTCCTCGTTTACCTGCCGCGGCTTCTTTTGCAACTAGGAATGCAAGGCCTATGTTTCCGACGGTCAGCTGTGAAGGGCGAAGATCCTCAGGCTTTAGACTGCAGCGCTTGCCTCGCCGTCGCCATCTCGATCAGCCTCGTCGATCATCTCCTGGAGCTCCTGCTGACGCAAACGGAGTGGGACAGCGGCCAGGGCCCAGCTCGAGCGGGAGCCTCGTCTGTCATTCGCTCGCCAAGCTCCTCCGAAGAGCGTCTTCACTAAGGACACTAGGACAGTGACAGGTAGGTATATGGAGAGCATGAGGGGGTTCTTGCTCACAGCAAGAACCATCAAACGAATTCAGCCTAACCTCGGTTAACCTAAACGCTCCCACCCTCAGTCCTTGGCTACGCGCTTCAAGTTCTT